AAATATATAATAATATTAGTTAGTTAAGTTAGGTAGTTATTATATTATTTTGTTTAATAATTTTTTTAAATATTTTTGTTAAGTGTGATTTAATGTAAAAAATGAACTCTTAAAATTTTAATTTATTTAAATTTATAAAATAAATTAAAATTAAAATATAAAATAAAGTTGTGACCGACCGCTCCAAAGTAACCCAAATTCAATTTGAACTTTGAACGGTTGGACTCGTATGCCGATACGATAAAAGTGATATGAAACGAGGTAGCGCAAACACTATTACGAGCGAGAGAGAAACGAAGGTAGAAACTGCCGCCAGAGGTCCTTTAAACTCTATCGAAACGAAACATTACACGCGAATTTTCGCCCGCAACGCTAAATGCTCTCTCTCTCTCTTCGCATTGGGATTGGGGTTCAAACAACCCCGAAATTTCAGTCTCTTCTGACCTCTCGTTCTCTCTCTCTCTCTCTTTGAAGAGCAGAGCTCTCTCTGCTATACTCTGAAGCACTGTCTCTCGCTCAAAATCGAACTAAGAGCACCAAGAAAAAGGAAGGGTTAACCAGAGCACGTATAGAGCTCTCTCGCCATACTCGAACGCGGTATGATCTCTCTGTATCTCCATATTTTCTATGTTTTTTAGGGCATTTTCTAAGATTCTCCCTCTCTCTATCTCGATTTTTCAGGATTATCAATTTCTCTGTCTCTCTTTTTCTTTGGATCTTTCATAGATTCTCTCTCTTCCAATCTCGTTTTTTAGGGATTTTACTCGGTTTCTCTCTCTATCACCGTTTCTCTCCCTCTTCCTATCTCCTTTTTTAGGGCTTTTTGGGCTTTTTATGGTGGGCGTTTTTCCTAATTTCTCCCTCTCTCTCTCTCTCTATATCTCGATCTTTTTAGGGCTTTTTCTTGATTTCTTCCTCTCTCTCTGCATTTCTTACTCTCTCTCTCTCACTGTCTCGATTTTTTTTAGGCCATTTCTCAATCTGTCTCTCTATATCTGTGTGAGTGGGAATCTGTTTTCTAAATCTCTCTCTCAATGTCTCTAGTTTTTGGGTCGTATTTTTTTTGCATTTTTTACAGTTTCTTCTTATTTTCTCTCTACCTTAAAAGAAATTTTACAGTTTCTTCTTCTTTATACATTGTTACTCTTGCTGGTCTTTGTATGAAATTAATTGTTTTTTATGGTGATGAATTAATGTTTGGATATGTAGACTGCATTTTTAAATTGTGTAATGTAGTTGTGAACTTGCTTGCTTCTATGGCCTGCTATGAAATCTCTTTGATTGCATGGTTTGAGGCTACTATGTTTGTCCTGAGGTTACTATGTTTGTCCTGATATTATCACTTTATCAGAGTGAAAGTTTCTAAAACCGCTTACATTTTCAGTGAGGACTTAAAACTTGACGGAATTTGATGTAGGATTACGAAGAATCCCATGAAAACAGTGTGGAATCATGGAGAACCACTGTGGAGGATGAACCACTGTGGAGGACTTTCAAATTAATTCAGTTATTATTAACAACATCAAATTGAACCCATGAATGATGAATGCTCAATCAATTAGGAAGCAATTCATCACAATTGCTATTTTATTTTCATTAGCTTAGATGGTTTGGCCTTGAGTTGGTTGACTTGTGTGGCTATTTTAGAGAGAGAGGGTTTGTTAAGCTTTTCATAATCAAGGTATAGGCCTGTTAAAATGACTTTGGGGATTAAAAATATTTGGATTGTCGGTCCCTTATATCGGATAAAAGTATTGTAGAAGGCCCACTATATTGAACTATTGTATGATGTTATGTCAATGCAAGTAAACAGGGAAAATGTTACGACAATATATTATGTAATGTAGTTGTGCCTAAGGGGACTAATAACATTTTAATGGATGCTCAATTTTATTATGCAAGGTATTATGTATGGTTAAAACATCTCTTCTTTATCTTTACTTTGTTCTATGTAATTGTATCGTAAGCCACACTCATCTTTTATTAGCAAAACTATTAACTTTTAATGGCTTATACGGTCCATGTTCACCATTTATTTTGGAATCTATGTTTCTACATCTCTCTCTCTAGCATAGACTATAGTTCATGTTCAACCTGTTGGAATCCATTAAAAAGACATAGTTTAAAAGCCACATACAAGATAATTCTCTGTTTCTATTGATAGGATTCATTCTCTTAGACAAATAAATGGATGACTTGGACACAACTCAGTCATTTTTTCTAAATATCGATGATGGTGGCACCACTACTTTTCCAGAAGAGCATGGTGCCGATTCTATGGTACAAGACATTGGTAACTTGGATGGGGGTCAAGATTTATTGTCAGTAGATGAAGGCGCAGCACTCTCAAGAGGCGTGGATTTTGAGCTTAAAATTGGCATGTCATTCGATAATGAAGATGACTCCAAAGCCCTATTACTTAAATTTCATCAAGCTTGTGGGGTTTGGCACAAGAATGAGAAGTACATTTCGGAAAGACAGTGAAAGAGCTGGACGAGTGATTGAGTGTTCACGACAAAGATTCCGTCATCATACATATGAGGGCAGCAAGAACCGTCGTCCCCAGACAAGGTGTGGGTGTTCGGCAAAAATGTGACTTTTGAAAGACGAGAAGCAAAGATGGATAGTTATTTAGTTTGTGAAAGAGCATACCCATGCTCTCACATCACCATTTAAAACTAGGTTCATGCGCTCCCATCGGAAGATTCCCAACTCCGTGAAAAAAGTTATCGACACCATGGGGTCTTCATTGGTTAAGTCAAGAGTTATGATGGATTACCTTAATGAGGAGGTCGGAGGAGTGGAAAATGTGCCCTTCATTGCCAAAGACCTTGAAAACCACCTACATATGGAAAGGAGGAAACTGAAAGAAAGTGACATACATATGGTTATGAAATATTTTCAATGAAATATTTGCATTGAAAGCAAGATTTGAATCCTACCGTTTTTTTAGAGCGTGGCTCGATGAATTAGGAAGTCTCATTGGCGTTGTTTGCGTAGAATCTAGTGCGATAATGTCATATCAATTCTTTTATGACATGGTAATTATTTATACTCGAAAATGAGGGCTATGGACTTCACCCCCCTTTTGGTTTCGGGTGCAAACTAATCGAAGAGTAGGAGGAGAATGGGTCCTGTCAAATTACGTTTCAAGGGAGAGTCGAGTCCTAGGACCTTATCCCTCTCGGACCGCCGGCAAAGCCGGCTTCCCTCCTATTTCAACCTTGGAACTCAACGAGGAGATTTTCAAAAGGGTTTGAAGATAAAAAGGAGATTTCAGAAAAATAGATTTAGAAAAGGGAGAAGAGAGGATAACCACAAATAAACTAGTAAGCTAGGGAAATAAAGATAAACATGGGTGAAGATTCTAACTATAAAATGCAAAGAGAATAGGAAGATAAAGAGCATGGAAACAATGAGATCTAAACTACTATCTAATCTAAACATGCAATAACTACGCAAAAGCAATAAGACTAAGGAGATAAGAAAACAAGTATAAAGAGAATAGGGGAGAGAAAGCTATATTAAAGAGAAAGAAGGGAGGGAAGAACAAAACATTATAGAGAGGAGAAAAGGAGAATAACACATCAAGCAAGAGGAAGATGGAGTGAAGGCTAGATAATAAGGAGAGAGAAAAATAATACAAAATAAAAATAAATACAAGAAAAAATGGGGAGAGGAATATGCTAACTATTGAACAAAATATAAAGGGAATAAATGAAACGAACATAAGAGAAATAAGGGGAAAAGAGAGATAGAAAGGGATGGGATCTAAACTACAAGATAAGAGGAGAAAAAGAGAGAAGCGCATACCATTAACTAAGGAAAACAAAAACAATAAATAAAAGGAAATAAATGCTTAATGGTGGAGGTGAGAGACAGGGAGAGATTTACAGTATAAAAGGAAAATACAATAAACTAAGAGAAATAAATGTTACAGAAGAAAAGGAAAACAACTATTTAACAAAGAGGAGAGAGAGCAAGAGAGAGAGAGAGAGAGAGAGAGAGAGAGAGAGAGAGATCTATGCTATAAGATAGAACAAAAGGGGCAAAGGGAATAAATATTAACTGAAAGAAAAGAGTGAAGAGAAAGCTAAATGCAAACCAAAAGAGCAATAAATACAATATAAGCAGAAAAAGAGGGAGGAAGAGATTAAGTCATAAATGAAGAGGAAAGGGAGGAAATCATAAATATGAATAAAAGGGAAATAAATACCAGAAATAACTAGAAATGAAAAGAAAATGATGTGTTAGGCTCGTCCCTCAACCTCGATGCCTAGAGTCAGTGTCGATTCATATCAAATAGTTGCATAGTCAATCTTTAATTTTTGGTTTTGAACAGGGCAAATAGAAATGGGAGGAAGAAGGCCCGGAAAGTCAGATTATTTGGACCGTCTTCGGTTTGATAGGGGAGCTTGAAGGGGTTGAAGGCCTAGTTTTGGATTGAGGGGTTCTTGGTGGAATTGGATTTGCTCAAATAGGCTCACCTTGGGGTTTTCTCATAACCTCAAGCTTGAGCTCAAGATCAAGGAGTTTTGAACATAGCTTAGGCTAAAAAAATCTTAAGAATTCGGGCATAGCTTAGGCAAAAAAATTATCAAGATCCGGACCTTAAGTCTGAAGCAAAAGGAGATATTTATAGGCAAAACGGACCTTGCACAGCCTGTAGGTCGGTTTTATGTGAATTTCGGACCATTAGAGTTCTTGAGACATTTGGAGTGGCGGTGGCGGCGGCGGCACTTGGATCAGCACCACATCATTAATGCAGTAATAAAGATGGTCAACAAATATTAATTGCTCATTAATGCGGTTGATTCAGCCCTGTCAGTATCTGACGTCATTGGCAATGGCGCCAGTGGCCTTCCGATTTCCTTCAGGTTTTGTCTTGAACACGTACCACATTCTGGTGGGTTCTGATCTGGTTTTGATCTATCAATCATGGCTTGAAGTTATTCTGAATGGTGTCGATGACATTTGTAGTGTTGCCAAACGCAAGCTGACACTCTGCCCTAGTTGTACTGTCTTTTAATCTTTGGCCAATCACATTTCGACAACCACGGTCTGTACTGACATCTAATGTGTCAGTACGACCCTGCCATGTCGGCTTCGTACGGTTTGACATGTCAGTATGTCATCTCAGTCTCATCAGCCAGGCTGTTTCCCTCTTGTTGGAGGTCTCCCGGCCAGACGACATTTGAACTGGAGCTGGTGACATTGGCAATGTCACCAGACTTCTGGTTGTTTTCGAGCTTATGGGGGGCCCTCGAGTTTGGCGCCTTTTGAAGTGGCGCTGTCGCCACTGGGAATGGTGCTAGGTTTCTATCTTTCCTGGCCACCCGTTTTGTGATAAAGGTGCCTTCGGTGTCGTGCCTTCGGGTTTTTGGTGGGGCTTTGGCGGCCGTTGGGGCAACGTTAGAGCCTTCTTTTCTGAAAATGCTTCAAAGTCAGGTAGTTTTGAATCTGTCTTGCCTTGTCTCGCCACTTGTCTCGCCTCGTGGTACCTTTGGTCGGGCAATGTCGGGCCAGTGAAGGCTATGTTTGCATAAAGGGTTTTGGTGGGGTGAATAGTCTAAAATATCCGGATGGTTTGCCTGGGACATTTCAACCTATCCATAATTTTTCCAGTCGAGATCGAGGTGTGTATAGTAACATTTGATACTACGTACCAAACAACTGCACTTAGCATACCTTTTTGGCCAATCCTTGGAGTCAACCATCATAGTAATACTGTTTTCTTTGGATGTGCCCTTATTATTGATGAGACAATTGAGTCATTTATTTGGTTATTTGAAAGTTGGTTGGAGGCAATGGGAGGAAAACAACCAGGTACAATTATAACATATCAAGATTTGACTATAACTGCCGCAGTTAAGAAGGTCTTCCCTGAGAGTAATCATTAGTTTTGTAAGTGGTACATAATGGGAAAGTTTAAAACAAAGTTGGGTCATGTTATGCGCGCACATTCACACTTTTTAGGCGAATTGAAGAAGTGTTTTTGTGCATCCACAATGGAGATGTTTGAGTCCAAATGAAAATAAATGATTGAGAGATATGCTCTTGAAGAAAAATTTGGCTACAGTGGTTATATGGTTGTCGCAATCAATGGGTGGATAGGTATATTGGTGATAGGTTCACTACAGGGAAGACTACTACACAACGCAGTGAGAGGTTCAATTGTGAGATCAAAGCTTATGTGCCTTCGGGTACTAGTCTTCATAAATTTTTGAATGCCATTTAGAAGTTGCAAGACAAGTTTTTCAAAGAAAAAGAGAGACTCTAGAAACCTAACATCCACTCCTACTTTGAAGACACCCTTTAAAATAGAGGGCGATGCATCAAGGGTCTACACTCAGAAGGTTTTTGGAAAATTTCAAAAGGAACTAGTTGAGTCTGCAGATTGTAGGATCAAAATAATTGAGGACAATGGGATCTCTGTCAAATATGATATAGAGGACTCTCAAGGGTCGTCCATTCATCACCTTGTTACATTCAATAGGTCAGAGAGCAAAGCCACATGCACATGTCACATGTATGAGCGTGTTGGCATCCCTTGTTCACATATGCTTCGAGCTTTCAGTGTGAAGAATGTGGTGGAGATCCCATTGGATTACATATTGAGGCATTCGAAAATGGATGCGAAGAAAGTTATGAATTTGTATGGACAATTGAAGAGTCTGCAATAGAAAATGGTGAGGTATTTGAGAAACTAAAGTCAAGTTGGTTGTCAATAGCCAATGAATGCAATGCCACACCTTGCATTAGTCAGTCATATATTGGTAGTCAGTCAGATGATGAGCCCCCACTTGACTCTAGTCAGTCAGATGACCCCTCTTGTCACTGTACATAATCCACCACATGTTCAAGCAAAGGGTTGGCCAAGAACCCCAAGGATGAAGACGGCTAGTGAGAAAAAGGTTCCAGGTACAAGGAAGTGTGTGGTTTGCAGTCAAGGTGGTCATGACAAGCGTAATTGCGTGGTAATGAAATTGAGCTTGTAAGTGTATGTTTGATTACTTTCTTCAATTTACACTCTATTGCTACTTTATGTATTAATCTATTCATCTTAAAAGATATATTTTGTAATAAACTAACAAATCATATGTATCCTGTAGGACTGGTGGGAATGTTCCAGGTGGTGTGATGGGTTCCCAACATAGCGAGGCCGTAGACGGATGTGGCGTGAGAAGGTTGGTTCTAAAATAACTTGCAAATTCATGTTAAATCTATGTAATAGTATATATGTGTAGTCAGATTTATAACAATTCTTAAAGAAGTTACTGATTTTATTGATTTTTCTTTGTTGCAGGTCCAAAAGGAAGGTCCTCAAGGGCTAAAGATTTTGGATCAATTGCTTGTTGCAAATTTTAATTGCATCCCCTCTTTTCTTATTTTATGTAGAGCATTTATAGGGTTGTGGGTTCTCGTACAGGGCACCCATTTATAGGGTTGGCTATTTTTTGTAGAGCATTGTTTGGGCCTTCTTTTGGCCTTTTGTGAGATCACATGTTTTGATCAAGTTTTAGTCATTAGTTGTGAATGATTGCTTGTATTGGGACTGAGTTCAAAATCCTTGCAATGGTGGTAACATTTAGCAGACTTGCAATGTATATTTTCTGCATAGAATCACTTAAATATTTCTTTTTACATATTTTCTGTATATTGTCCATGATGTGGCATTTTTCAAAAAAACCATTTTCCTTCTATTGTGTATAATAGAAGACCAAAACCCAAACGATGCGAATATATCATACAAGACCGTAAGGACAAAAAACAAATTAACAGTTTGAATTCTCAAAGAGCTTCTACTGAAATTTAAAAATTCTACACGAATCTTCTCTTACATGACAAATGAATTTCATAAATCACACCAACAAGGGGCTGCAATGGATCAAAAGGTACTGAGGAAGCTTTGCTTTCTTTTCTCTTAGGTCGCCGCTTGTTTGATTTGTTCTTGGCCGGAATCATCTGCTTTACTTGCACTCTTTCCCACTCGTTCCTTTTTCTCACCTTCAGTTTTGGATTTGAACGGGAAGGATCAAGAATGGATAGATGTGTTGATCTTTTTCTTGTTTTGTGTTGTTTGTCGGTTGCTCGAGTCACAGGAGGCCACCATGCCATTGCTAGCACAAGCATTAGTATCGGGAGTATTATCCCTCAGTATAATGGAAGTCAAATTGAGGTTCTTTCCTTTTACTTTTTTATATTTTGATTATCTATAAGGCTACATTGTTCAGCATTGTCATCATCGGAAGTAATCTCTTCTTCCTCAAACTCAATGCTTCATACTACCTGTAAAGAGAAAATCTTCAGATAAATACATTAAGATGTGTATTGATGGAAAAATATAAAACCAATCAATTGAAAAGTAAAGAAATTTCTCAAAAGGAAAACTAAAAACAAATGCATCAAACAAGAATAGGAAACTCAGTTAAAATTCTGACCCCTCCAGTATAAATGACAACCTCGGTCAAGCAACAAAAAGAGAATGGAAGTTGCAGGGTGAGCCTCAGCACGACAAACTAAGACACGAGAATGCTTGATGAAGTATAAATATTTCAGTGCGCGTGCTTGTGTGTGTAAATGGTAGAATCATAACTAGGAATGAGACATTCAATACAAGTAACCAGCATACAATATCCTATCACTTGTTTCTTCAAATGAAGAGAGATGTTAAACTACTGTATCAGAAAGTTTCGGCCATTTTCAACTAAACTCACAAACTGCAAAAAGAGAACTCCTTAAATTGGGTTGAAGGCCGTTGGAAACCACATATACTATTTTGGAAGGGCCGTATACAAGGTTTAAAAATTCATTTATTCTTCTTACCATTGTTTTTTTCGATAAGAGCTGGGACTCATCCAAGCCAAGTTAGCTGGGGCAATCCTAATTTTTCATTTGTGAGTATAACCTACTAGAATTGCATATAAATCTACCCTCAATGAGTAGGGTGTATCCTCTACCTTTGATCCAAGTTGATGGGTTCTAAAAGTATGTAACACTTGTTTAATACATCTTGGTTGTAACACTAGGAAGGCGATTGACTTCTACCCTCCACAGTCTCAGCCCCTTCAACAGTTCATCCTTTGAGTAGATCTTCTCAGCAGGAAATCCCTTAACAAGGCAAGTTCCTCTTCACCCATACCCCTTCTTACCTCTTCAAGCTGCTCTACTACCAAGCAAAGGAATCAAATCAGAATGTCGGCAAAGCTGCTCCACCTCCAAGCAAAGGAAGCAAATCAGAATGTCAGCTGCTTAGCTCGTACCAACGCAGTCAGCAGATGACGGCAATTGCAAGCTCGCCGGTCAAAAGCATAGTCTCGATACATAATTTTTTTGGGATATTGTCGAATATTGTATTTTTTTTCTTCCTTTCTTTTACTATGTACCTCAACTTTGAGCATATTCAATGGTTGGGGTCCTTTTAACTGACGGAGTTTTTTAGAATTTACCAACTTATATCCATATTTCCCTAATATTGTGTAGAGAGGCATATAGTGGCCCTAGGAGTATAGGTCCATAGTTCGGTCTCAAAATGAGATTTGTGATAATCTCTAAGTATGTCCGGTGGTTAAGATATATGGTGACCGATTGTAGAGCTTTCAAGGCATGTTAGGGGCCTCTGATGGCAAGCTTGGTCTATATTGGTCCTCTTGACATACTATTTGAGGTATCTCCATGGATAATATCAACCGACACATTCATACGGACCTTCCGCTTGTTAAGCCTGTATTTGCCTTATGACTGTTCGATTCACACACTTGATATTCATCCATCCTTTGATTTTATATGGTCCATCTTGATTCTGGGTGTCTAAACCCCAACAAGTACAAACTGGAAAATATAACCACATTCCACATTTTCTCCAATTATATGGTAGGATTCTGCTTTTTAATTTTTTTTATTTCAATTTTACGCCCAGTATTATGGAAGTCAAATTGAGGTTCTTTCCTTTTACTTTTTATATTTTGATTATCTATAAGGTAGTTCTGCATTAGTAACATCAAATTGTAACTTCTTTAGAAAGTTGTTTTTAAGCATGGACTGGTCCAACTTCGAACAGCTTTATACTTAAAATGGAAAATTATGAGTATGAACTGGTTCATTGTTGCTAGTATCAAACTGCTCCATACTTCAAATGTATAGAGTGGTTTGATGTTAACATTGATGAACAGCGTATTGCTTCTCTTTTTGTTTAATGCAGTTTCAATTGTAGCAAAAAAGAGGAATTTTAAAATTATCTTTCTCAGTCCCCTATAAAATCACGATTATCAGTCCAAAGGGTGAGGCCTCTGACTCCATTCTCACAATTGGGTACGGCTCAAATCTCTATTTTTTTTTTTTTATTCGAAAAGAGCTCAAGCTTAATTGGTTAAGAGTTGACGATTTGCAACGCTACGTCCTAGGCTTAATTCCAACCAAAAGTAGGGAGGGGCCACTCCCCACTAACTCAACCACCAAAAAACAAAAAACCAACCATAGCACCCTCCCCCCAAAAAAAAGAAAAAAAGGAAAAGGACAAAAACAAAAAAGAAAAAAAATGTCCAGTGTTACTACCATAGACCAATGGGCAAAACTGGGAGAAAAGAGTAAAAAAGTTAAAACCTAGCATAAGTTGGAGAAAAAATGTGGACCAAGCAGAAATATTGCTCATAGTTTTAGGGACCATAGACCAATGGGCAAAACTGGGAGAAAAGAGTAAAAAAGTTAAAACCTAGAATAAGTTGGGAGAAAAAATGTGGACCAAGCAGAAATATTGCTCATAGTTTTTGGTCCCTAAGTAATTTTTCCCCATATTTACAATATCTTTAAATTAATCATGTTGTATTTGATATCAAATAGGAGTACCAGCTTTAAGATGTTCTAATATTAATAAATTCTAATTAAATTTATGGCTAATTTTTATAATATTGAAATTATGCAAAAATTTAATTAATAAAGTTTCATCCATTAAAATTAGTTTATGAGAAATTTCTAGAATTTTTATAATAAATTCTTTAAGGAGCTTACATTTTTACTAAAAAAAGGAAGTAGGAAACCTTATGGTGAATAATTATAGATATTAATTACAAGACAACAATTTCACTTAGATTTTATGCCCATATTTCTAACTTTAATAAATAAATATTTAGAATATTACGTCCATCTTGCTTTCCGTTTTTGGGAAAATTACTTTATTATGAGACGCTCCATATTTCGCAAATATCACATGGAGACCACCCCTGCCACGCCACCATTTTTTTCTAGAATTTCCGCATGTCCAATATTTCCGTGAAAAATTCCATAATTTTTCTATTTTTTTATTCAAGACCGGTCCAATATAAAAATGCCGAACAACATTATAACAGGGTTGTTCAATGTTCGTAATGCAAAAGAAACTTATATTTTTTGATGCGGTTTTCTTTCTTTCTTTATTATTTTTTGATGGGGTTCTCACTAGTAGTTTAATTAATTTTTCCTTACCATTATAAAATATCATAAAAAATGGAAAAAGTTTATATTGAGCCGGGGCTCTAAACAATCAAAATAAAGTCCATCTCAAACATTACACTAGAAGAGGTTGTTTTGATACCCAAATAGCCTCAAATTAATCATCTCATAAAGATGCACGGACATGAGAAACAAATAGAATTCAAGTTTTGGAAATAGTGCATCTTGTAATGCATTTTTGGACTATCAATTTTCAAGATTTTCAAGTTTTTCTAGTTCTGCTTGATCTACACACTTTTTGAAGCTTTAGATTTTATAATTAAAGATGAAAATATATTTTAAAGGTGCAGTTGGCATACGGATGCATCCGTAGGTGTAGAGGTAAGGTGCACCTTCAAATTTTATCATGGTATATAATTTTGATGTAAAATGTTTTTAGGATTATCTCAAAATCTATTGTTATATCTAATTATAAAATTTTAAATTTAAAAAATGGTTAAAATCAAGCTATTCTATCAACATATGAAAATCTTGAAAATGGACGGTGTATGTAATATAATGTAAAATGCACTATTTCTGAGGCTTAAAATCTTTTTATTTTTCTTAGTCATACATCTCGATGTCGAGATGATCAATCAAAGGGTTTTTCAACATTAAAACTACCTTTTCCAATAGATTTTTGAGGGGCATCCGTAGTTCTACATTATAAGGTAGCATTCTTATATAAACTTTTTCCATATTTTAAAGCTATCACAAAGATTTTCAGTATTGAAACTATATTTCTCGTCACGATTTGAAGATGTGCTGTACTTTGGAAAAAAAAAAAAAGACTTACTTGTAACAATGTAAATGGGCAGATGGCAGTAGATCTGGGATTGTGAGAGAGAGAGAGAGAGAGAGAGAGAGAGATTATGTATCACCCTCAAAGGATAAATAGAAATAGATTTAGAAATCCTAGAATGAGGAAAAATATGATGGGAAGAAGGGCAGGCATGCTTTTAATGCCCTAATCGAGCTTGTCCGGTATCACAAATACCGAATGGCTTAAGAAAAAGAAAAAAAAAATGTTGCACTCCCTAAGAGCTTTAGACCTTTGGGCTATCTTGACATTATAAATACCGAACAAACCATTAAATAACTTTATTCGATATTTTTGATATCGGACAGGCATTCATTGAAAGAAAAACACTTTAAATGAGGATCTTAATATCAGACAGTTCGGAAAAATATAATAAAGGAACCTAAATAGGTTCTGTACGTAAACTTTCCTAAAACTTTGTAATATAATTTTCTATCTAAAAGTTATTGTAACCATATTTGTCTCTTTTGCTTTGGTTGTGTTTCTTATAAGTACGTATACTATGCTCCCTTGGGACCATAGTTTACTACTACTCCCTCGGTCAGGAGACCCATTTGGGAGGATCTTTTCTAAGTGAAATTTAGGGAACCACTTAATATGCACTAGAGGATTATTCTAAAAATTTTTAAAGTTTACTAACACTTAACCATCTAAGAATTGGATGGTCTCTGATCCACCTCGAGACATTATTATTTTTTAAGTGTATGGAAGGTACAACTAGGAAATTTTTTTATTGAGGTTAATTATGGGTTGAAGGGGGGTTACATTCCTAAAATTTGAGGTCCTAAAATTAATTACGGAAAGCTTTCCATGTTCTTTCTACAACATAGAAATTCTATCTTCCCCTTTATCTAACCATCTATTTTTTAATAGAGGGCTAAGATTGCCCCAATCACAATGTCACGTCTCTAAACTATTTTTTTTTTTAATTTTTTTTATAAACTATTTTGACGCCAAAGTTTGGACGTCCATTCCTCTACTAAACTCGCACTAACGAAAAATATAAAGAAAATATTTTCAATAAATTAAATGACCATAATACCCCTAAAAGATTCAAGGGGTATTTTGGTCATTATTTTTTATAAAAAATTATTGTTAATATTTTTTTTATAGGTGCGCCCCAATGAGAAGATGACACATACCAAATTTCATATTAAAAAAACTTGTATTAAAAAAATTAAAAATAAAATACTTTAAAACGTCGGATTTAAGATCAAACGGTGAGTGGCTCTCTTGATAAAAAATAGACGGTTTTATGGTAAGGGGATAATAGAAATCTATGTTGTAGGGAGAACATAAAAAGCTTTCCCAATTAATTATAGCTGGGGTTTTACTTGATGGAGTAAATGGATATTATGCTCCCACAAGAGTAGAATATCTTTTGTCTTCTCTTATTCTTCTTGGAAAAATTACCCTCAATAATCTTGTGTCCCCTCTAACTGGAGATAAGCCTGAGTCCCTCCAAGATTCCTCTTGCTTCTGCCTCTTTCACCGTGGTTGAACCACAAGAACCATAATAGGAAATAAGAATGTTGTTGTTATTGTTTCCTATGATTCCTAAAAAACCAGCATGACCAAGGTTTTCAAGAGAACTATTGTAAAAAATTAGTTTAATACAACCTACGAGCTGAGGGGACCAAGGTAAATATCTTCTATGAACTGAGAAGGATAAATGAGCTACTTCCATGGGGTTCAAAATGATTTGGTTTTTTGGAATAAATTTACAGTAGGTAGAAATTGTTTGGTGAGTGTGATCATTAAAAGCCTTATGAGTGCTTGTAAAATGAATATATATAATAGAATATAAACTCAGTGGGAGTGTAGTCCTTTGTAGATCATATTAAGCAAAAAATGTTTGTTGATACTAGATTGTGCTTGACATATTACGTCTGTTTGGCTGTGAAAAACCCATGTTGCTTGAGCTCTGAGAATCGTACCGATGAGAGTTATATGAGTTATTCCTTAATGAGATTGGAGTATGCGCAGATGAATGAGCTGAGAGACTGCGTGATCCTTGTGTGTGATGGAAGCCTTCAAGGATAGGGCCAAAACGTCAACATTTCTGCCATCACACAACATGCACATTGATAGCCATTTTCGGTAAAGCTTACTACATTTCAGGGTAAAGCGTGTGTATGTGA